AAAAAAAAAAAAAAAATAAAATAAGGTCTTTTCCACAAAGAAGTTTAGCCAAACCAAACACCAACGATGCCGACACTCATGGGCGATTACCCACACAGACATAAAGCCAGTGTAAGCCGCAAATCCAGAAACTGCAGAAAAACTGTCTAATTAAATATGAGACTAAAGGACCCAAACTCCTCGTCCGGATAGACAACCCTAGACCTGTAATCGGAGATCCACAACATACTTCAACTCCCAAATCCTCAAGACCCGAGTCCAGGACACAAGACCCAACCTCGACCTAACCCGACACCCACTCAACCTAAAGGCCCCAAAAGCAGAGAAAAAATGGGAGAAGGGCGAAGAATGAAACCAGCCCGATCTCAGCGCCGACCACCACCTAGGGGATAAAAGGAGCCACAACCTTCACTCACAAGGGACCTGAGGACCCACTATCTCACCCGAGAAAAAGGCCGTCACCATGTCCGACGAGTCTCCGAAAGTTGGTCGCACGACTTGGTGAACGCCGTCGTCGTGGTGGCCTGAAGGCCCTGTGATAAGTAAAGTTCAGTTACATTTTGCCAAGTTTGGTGTAAATTTAAGTTTCTGGTATATTTTTATTATGAGACAGAACTCCAAGTAAACGAGCTCGGAGGTCTACAATTAATCAACAAAACCTCTCTTGGGGCCTGAGATGTTGTCAAGGGGCAGGACCTCGGGCAGATGAGCTCGGGGGCCCAAGGACATGTGGCAGACCTCGAGTAGTTAGCTCGAGGGCCAAGTTTTTTTAAAGCAACTGAACCTCGAGTGGTTAGCTCGAGGGCCGAGTACTTTTTAAAGCGGTAGGACTTCGAGTGGTTAGCTCGGGTGCCAAGTAAGGAGGCGGAACTTCGAGCCTTAGTCCTATAAAGTATCTGAAAGTTATTCATTTCTCAAGTGACAGTAGCAAAAGTAGGTAGTTCGGGGGCCAAAGAGGTTATGCTTTTTAAGATAGGGATCCCAAGCAAGTAGCTCGAGTGCCTAAGTAATTATGTGGCTAAAAATTTTGAAGGCCAAAGCGAGTAAAGAATTTCGAACTCAGTTATGTGTGAAGAAGCATCCATTCACAGTAAAAATAAAGGACGAAAAATGAAGAAATGAAGCATCATCCATCCTAAGTAGCTCGAACTCGTCGGGGAGCTCGTTTATGCAATTCAGGGTATATGTATAGGTCGGCTGATTGGAGAGTTTGAAAGTCGGGCTCCTTCAGGAGCTCGGATAGATGACCTCACGATCATGAGATTGTGAAGGTGGAGGTCGTGGTTACGACATGGTTAGACCATGGTTATAGTTCGTGGCAGGTGGGTTACGAGGTAGTTTAGATGACTTAAGGACCTAAGTGTCATATAGCAAAAGTGAACATAATCCTTTTACCATGAATAATATATCTCGCTAAGGAGTTTAAGATTCTAGATGTGATAAGCTAGGAAAGCTGATATGGTTTGATCTCTTCCTAGCAAGGACTCTACTTGGACAACAAGACACCCTAATATATAAAGGATGATCATGTTCTATTTTAATTTTAAGTACAACGTGTCTTTATGCTACAATATATCAAGTTTTCTCGTTATTATCACGAACGAGTACTGACTTGAGCGTCAGAAGTTTTTCTGAGGGGACCTCTCCCCTGGGCGTATTGTAGTTCACTGGAGCTCGAGACAGAAGGTTGTTCGTGGTGCCGGTTTAACCCGATTTTGAACAAATTGCATATCAAAACCCTCGAGCTCCACGAGAGTGAACATCGTTTGTTCATTCGTCGTCTCCCCCAACAGTTATCGCCGCTTTAACCAGGCGAGATTCAACCTCTCTTCCCTGCCCTCAAAGGAAGCCCGCCACCCCGTCGGTCGGAAAACCCCCGTGGCGATCCTAAATGAGTTGCGGCGTGGGTCATGTCCAACGAGGCTACACCAATCAGCGCCCATGAAGACCTCGTTGTGGCTAAAGAATAAAAAAAAGGTTCGACAAGGCGGGGGAAAACAGTGACCGGGAGGTGAGAGAGATGGTCACCGCAATTAATGTTTGTGAGAGAGAGAGAGAGAGAGAGAGTAAGTGGGAGGTGGGTGAGAGAGAACGAGATGGTTTGGGTGGGAGTAATGTCCTAAATATCTAATGAGTGTAAAATTTATTTTTCTACAACAACAACAAAGCCTTTTAATCCCAAACAAGTTGGGGTAAAATTTATTTTTCTAATTGATTATATAAATCATATAACTATGCATTTCAATTTTTTCCACTATAAATCTTTTGTCACTATACCATCCACGGGCGGATTTAGGCAGGGACCCGTAGGGGCACGGTCCCCTGTAGATTTTTTTCAGTAATATAGTGTATATGCATTATTATTTTGACATAAAATAATACACGTTATTTATTATTATGCAAAATTATTTTAATATATATATAAAAAATAAATGTTTAGAATGATTTAACCTTCAATAGTATGTTATTTTTCAAGTTGTGGAATTTACGCTTAGGATGTACTCAATTTCTTGTTTATTTTCTTTTTCCTCACAAAAGAAATTTGTGATGTGAAACTCAACCCCAACTATTAAATAGGGAACAACGTGTCTGGTCAATATTTAATCTTTTTATTTTTTTAGTTAGTTAACTATTAAATTGATTTGACCGTTGACATTTGGTATTGACCATTGACTGTTGAAGTTGGCTGTTGACCGTTGTTTGTGCCCCCCTTTCTTATTTTTATTTTTCAAAAGAACTGTACTAACTTCTTTAATTACTTATATGACCCTAGTCATTATAACTGTAGTATTCTTCGTCGTTTATTTTCATAGTTTTCTTTCTACGCATTTGTCAGTTGTGGGGAAAGCGAGAGAGGGGATGATCGCTGACGGAGTTGAAGACGAAGAAAAATGGCTCTCTGCCGGGATCGCCGGCCTTCAGCAGAATGCCTTTCACATGCATCGCGCCCTCGTACTGTCTTTAGTCCGTTCTTCGATTTTTTCTCGGTTAAACCTAGATTTTGAGCTGCAATTCGTGTTTGATCTCAGGATTCGAACAATTTGAAGGATGCACTGAAGTTTTCTTCCCAGATGTTGTCGGAGCTCCGGACCTCGAGGCTCTCCCCTCACAAATACTACGAACTTTGTGTGTAATTAAAGCGTGGCTCTTTGCTGTTCATATAGTTTGCTCGTTTTCTTTTCTTCAGCGTCGTTTGAAGCTTGAGCTTGGTTGTGCAGATATGAGGGCGTTTGATGAGCTGCGGAAATTGGAAATTTTCTTCAAGGAGGAGACTGGTCGTGGGTGCTCCATTGTCGAACTTTATGAGCTCGTGCAACACGCTGGCAATATTCTGCCGAGACTGTAAGAATCATTTCTCCGGTCTGCTTAATTTTTATTCAATTTCTGAAGTATTGTGTCCACCTATGTTTTTTTGTTAGTTATGTCTCTCTGTTGGTAGAATTTGCATTTGGACTCAACTTTATTGATCGTGCATTGGAAGTTTAAAAAGCTAGATGTTGGCAAGAGAAGGAAAACTGGGTTTTTTTTGGGAGCATCATGTAAATGAACTGCTTTATTTACTTTTTTTATCTTTTACTTTAGCCTGTGTTGCTTAAGTTCCATATGGCAAGCTAGTGGGCACAAAATAGATCAGTGCATCTCATTGGTTTTTTCATAAAAACCAGCGAATTTTATGGAAGAGGATACATCGTCCAATAATCTTTGATGGTAGGGGATTTGCAAAGCTCACTCCTGAAACTACTATTTTTTGCGACTTCCAGACAGGCCTTCAGTTTTTGTCTAACAGAACTTTTTTGACACCAATACCTGCCTCTTACGACTGTCTGTCTAGACATTGGAGTGGCTGTTTTCGTAATTCTTTGTTTTCTTGTGTCAGATATTTACTCTGTACTGTGGGTTGTGTCTACATAAAATCAAAAGAAGCCCCAGCAAAGGATATACTTAAAGATCTTGTTGAAATGTGTCGTGGCATACAGCATCCTCTGCGTGGCCTCTTTCTGAGGAGTTACCTCTCTCAAGTCAGTAGGGATAAACTGCCTGACATTGGTTCTGAGTATGAAGGGTAAGCTTAAGACGTGGCCAATATGTTCTTCAGTGTGGATTTAGCCTCAATATTATTGCCTTAAGGGATCATATAAAATTCTGTGGAGCAATCGACAATGTAATAACCTTTTTTGGTCCCCTTTACAAAAGATGCCCATGATATGTATTGTGATTCTTGACCTTGCACATAGTATTGAAATTGTGCCATATCAATTTCTCTCTTATGCATGGCCACTTTCTTTCTGGAGATCTAAACTAAGTTCCTTGGAAATGCATAAAATTAAAAGAAAGCCCTGGAACCATTTCTTTCTTTTCTGGTACTTCATTCTAAATATGCTTCCCATTAAAGGTGGAGGAAGTGTTATTAACATAATGTCCCTTTGGTGTATTAATACTTACTGTTGCATGAACCTGGTTATGGCAATTTAGCTTACCTTCCCGATTTAAATGGTCTGGGAGTCACAAGCAAGTCATTCTATTTGAAAATGAGGAAAGAAGATGGAAATATAGAATGGCTTAGAACTATTGTTCTTTGTTGTTGATATTGTAAGTAGGTTTAGAATACAGATTAACGTTTAAGGCTACTTCTTAATTGAGACATCCTTAATATAGCAAGATATGAGGTTCCAGAAACTAATAGCTTGAAATTAGTGTTCTATTGGAACCCATCCTTACATATTATGCTTATTGACCTGTGAACCAAATATCTGAAGGAAAAAAAAAAAATGTCTAATAACAACTGGATTATATTTTTGTGAAGGTTTTATCACATATAACCTTGAAACTTTTATTTTGAAAATCTATCTGCTTATTGTAGTTGTAGTAGATAGGCATAAATTGACACATGTTCTTTCTGTTGAGTCATGTATTTAACGGCATTTTCTACTTTCTGTGAATATTATTATTGACTTAATTATATTGGAACAACGGGTAGACCATATTAACTAAAATGATGTGGGAATCTCGGATAGGGATGCGGATACTGTCATGGATGCTGTTGAGTTTGTACTCCAAAATTTCACAGAAATGAACGAACTTTGGGTTAGAATGCAGCATCAGGTGAGATGAGAAATAACGAAATCTAGTAGTTTTCTCATTAACCTTGATGTATGTTTCTGCATAAAGCATGTCATTTTCTTTGACATATATTCCCTTTTGTGCCTTTTTATGTGCAGGGACCTACTAGGGAAAAGGAGAAGAGAGAAAAAGAAAGGAGTGCACTACGCGATCTTGTAATGATCCTGAATCATAAGCTTTTGTTGATTTTACTGGTTGAGCATATTAACTAAATATTGTTTTGGTCAATTTATGTTGGTTAGGTTGGTAAGAATCTTCATGTTCTCAGCCAGATTGAGGGGGTTGACCTTGAAATATACAAAGAAATAGTGCTTCCGAGAGTATTGGAGCAAGTGAATCTTGACTTAGACTCGTGTATTTATACTTTTTCTATATTTATAGTTTGACGTTCTTAACTTTTTTTTTGCCTTGGGTTATTAACTGCAAGGATGAGCTTGCCCAATATTACTTGATGGATTGCATAATTCAAGTCTTCCCTGATGAATACCATTTGCAGACTCTTGAAACCTTATTGAATGTTTGCCCTCAACTTCAGGTGGATGCATTCTTCCCAAATATGAATTGTACTTTACTTAGTTTAGTGGTTGTGGTAGGCAAAAGGCAATGGCTATTGACTGGGAATGCCGCTGGTCGGTTAAAGTGGCAAAATGGTCACTTGGAGTTGCCTAGAGTCCACTTTTCTCAAGGCGCTGGTCTTTTCTATTATTTTTAAATGGAATGCTAGTGATACTAGGGTTCTTAGGGAACAATTCTGTTTAACGGAAAAATGGCGCAGTCTTCATCAAGAAGTCCAAGTAAAAAAATATTACCCTAGTCCGTTTGATTCTAATGTCTACTGCTGTTGCGTTTACATTTCTTTTCGCGTTAAACTTTACCACCTTCTTGCATGTTTGTTGCAGCCTTCTGTTGATGTGAAGACAGTGCTTGCTCGTCTGATGGAAAGGCTCTCAAATTATGCTGCTTCTGGTGTAGAAGTACAATATTTTTTGTTGCAATGTATTTTATTATTATGACTTGGAGTATTGTATTTTCCTTCATCGAGTTTCTTAATGCGGGTGTTACCTGAATTTTTTCAAGTAGAAGCTTTTGCCAAGCTAAACTGTGCCATAGGCAAGGTATGTCTTTGTACTTTCCATCTGAAACAACTATGTCTAGAATTTTCAAATGATAATTTGAAGCGTTTGGACAGAATTATTGTTGTTGCATACATGCATTTAGATTGAATTCATCAGGTTAATAACTCTAAAAATATAAATTTAGAGTCCTGATTATTCCTCGTAATTGTGGCGGGGGCTATCGTTTCCTGTATTGGAGTCGTGATTATTCCTTGTTACATTACATGCCTTGTGGAAGACATGCTTGTTTTTGTTTGTGGTATTTTGTGAAATAACGGGTAGTGTTTGTGGTGTTTTCTTGAAGAATATGGTAATGAGAATGGATGGACATAATGTTTTGATTTGGTTTGTTTTGAACATTTTTTTTTTTTTTTT